GAAGGGCAATTAGAACCGTTCTGACAGTGGGTAAAAGGACTAAAGTTAGCCCCTAAGTTTGACGTAATGCATCACGAGCGCAATAAATTACACAAGCTGCCGCAGAAGCAGGAGAACATATGGAAGCGATAAAATCCAAATTTGCGATGGAGCATATGATTAGATGTAAGGTTATATGTATATGATAGGCTCTTACACTACGTGACTCATATTTCTTCAACTTGAAAATACCTCTGATTTTTGAAACAATAAAAAGAGGTTCTAGCGTTCGGACAAATTATGTGTGGCACTAGATCAGCTCAGCGTTGATCATAGTATTTCAATATTTCCGCTTCGGTTTACATAGAAAGATCGGAGAGATTGGATTCTGGATTCACACATTCTGGATCAAAATGGTTCAATAAAGTCTTCTGTGGTAGTGGAACCAAGCCGAGCTGCCGTTCCCATCGTAATTAGCGAAAAAGGTGGTTTGTAGTCGGGCAAAGAGCGAACCGAATTGAGTACGGGTTCAGAGAAGAATCCTTGGGGAATTGAGGAGCTAGTTCGTTCACAGCATCCACCGACTACCACAGTTCGGTAGTAATTCAAATGAGACGCATAGCAAAAGGACATTTGCCGAAGGATGCTGCTGAAAAGCCGAAAAAGGACAAATTTCAGTTTGTAATGTCGATGGAAGAGTTAATAAGGGCCTTCAGGTACAAAAAATGTATTCTCATAGAATGAAATAGAAGTTAGAAAAATAGCTAGCATACAGTTTGGATGCCCGTCATATTAAGAAAATCAAGAACTCCTTTCCGCACTAGCGTCAAAAATTGACAAAAAATATGCAAAAAAGGAAACAAACTGTACAAGCTGCGAATTATTCCTCTAATAAGGCCAAAGCAAATCCAAAACATTCAAGCAATCATCATACTCAATGACGGTCATGCCAATTTGCATGGTTAAATAGCGGACGAAAAGACGCACATCTGCACAGAAACGAGTACAGGAGCGGTTGACCACAGAGGGGATCTGCTCCCTCTCCTCTTGTCAACAGACAATGTAAACAAGGAACACTTGATCATAAGCGCCGACAAGGATACGTATCATTTGAAGAAAAACCGTCGGAGAACTGCATCTGACAGATGAATTTTCTTGTCGATAGGAACAAAGCAAAAAGCACTATGGGCAAAGATGGGACTTCATAGATTGGACTTTCGAGCACTTAGCCAAAAATTACGTTAGGATAGGAGGTATGGACGAACGAATTCATAGTTGATTTATACCCATGAATTCAAGGAGGAAGTTATTCTGGTAAAGAGTGAATGTTGGAGTGGTCAGTATGCAAACTGAGGCTGCTGTATTGAATTCAGATTACTGATAGAAGATATTTGAGGTTCCCTGATGGAAAATGAGCTCCATGACAAAACCATGAACAAGAGAAACCGCCGGTGACATTGAAACCTTCATGCTTCAGTGAACATTCTCTTCCGTCTCAAAAAGGACAGATGAACCCATGCGAGTTGTTACAGTCTCAACTTTCAACGAGAAATGCTGCTTGTCAAAAATCATTTATTCACTCGCTAATTCGATATTGTGTGAGCATTTTTTGGAAGCAGTGGAAAAGCAGAGATTGTCAAGACTAGATAAGAAGCAATTCAAGTATCTTTTAAGACAAGCAACTGAAGAGTTGCTTTGAAAACATCATAGGAATCAACATTATCGAAATGTTGAAAGGAAACGGAGTTTTTTTTTTTGAAAATTTTAAGATCGGAAATCTGAAGTTGCTGGTCCTGCGCATCGCTGACCAGTCTATAGCAAGTCTGTCTTCGATGCTAATGCTAACAAATCATCTCTTGAACGAAAAAAGCGTATTTGAGAAGCCGCTGTACAAACATACGCAAACTTTGCTGACGCATCGTACGACGACATTGGAGACGCAAAAGGGCATTGCTGGACGAAGATGTGATTCATTGTTAGAGCAATTTCCTTGTGAAACACATCCATAGTACGAGGTATTGTGATTTAGTTGAGCTTAGAAAAGGAAAACGTAAACCACATAGAAAGACCAACAGGAAAACGAGAAGAGATGAAAAAATGGAATTTTGTTATAGAAACAAATACACCAAGAGACAGCGGATGAGAAAAACTCCTAAAAAGAAAGGATCGTCGAATCCAGCTCAAAGTATAGAACTTTTACTAGTCAGTCGGAGAATGACGAAGCATCGAGAGTTTTGGAAAAATGATTGATTTTTTGCATTAGCGTAATGTAAATAACGACGTGCATAGATACAGACGATGAGGACTGGACAAGGACATTTGAGGATCCTCGAAGAACAACGAGCGGTGCAAAGACATTGTAGTTGACACTGGAATCGTTGATTATTCCGTCTAAAGGAGAATCGCCAGTTCCCAAGTTAGAAAGTGTCCTTCAGCTTTTTGAAATTCACAAGGAATCTCATCTCATGCCTAAACCCCAGCTCCGGAGTTCAGAGTTATATCGGTGTGTTGAAGATAAATGATTCAGTTAGGATCAAGGTGACATACACAGAATGGGTATAAGTATCGGTGAGTTTTAGTATACTACAGGCAATCCAACGAGTAACCGTTCACGGAACACTCTGAGACTGCGTCTAGAGTTGCCTGTGCCAGCGCCGAACTAGCGCATCAATCAATCAACTCGGGCGCCTACATAGGCGCAGACGCGGCACTGACACGGCGCTGGCACGCAACTCTTTTTTACATCTATGAAACAACAGAATGTGCCGGCTTCACTTTCAGAAATACAGGTGAATCAGTAATGACTCTCGCTAGATTATGAATATGAAAACGTGTTGCGTCGAAGTACCAACAAACGACGCGCACATCGACGCCCTGAAGCATGGAGACAAAGGATTAATCAGAGAACTTCATCAAGCAAAGTTTGCGCATAAAGTATGTGCATACAAGATATGCGAACACGATCGGTTGGAATGTTGCAAAAGGCCGTTAAGACATTAACTAATTAGCTAGTACAATGCATTAGGTTTTCAGCAAAATGCATTTTTAGCCATTGAAACAATTTTTTACAGTCTTCAATTGGCACAAAATACTTGGAGACTTTAACCGCACACTGTTTCTTTGCCTGAATTTTCAAATAAAAGTCAATTCTAACGGAAGCCTTTTTAAGTAAGGGCAGAGTTTGCTAATTTTTGACTTTCTTCCTGCCAACTTTATACAAAATTCTCGTAGACTGCTTCTATGTTGCCTCATGGTCAATACTACTGGGCAACAAAGCCTGCTTTATTGCACCATTTCAGCTGTGATCGATGAAGTGCGAAAAGCTTGAATGGCGTGAGCGCGACTAAAGTATTAAGGGCTGCTGCATGACGAAGGCGCAAAAGCAGTAATAGTTGAGCGGGAGCGAACGCTGCGCGTGCGTATTTTCACCATTGTAAATCCTGCGCCTCATGCGCTCTGCGGCTAATGAACCGTTCGCGCCCAAATACATTGCACCTTCTTCATACAATATGTAGAGTAAAGGTGTGGGCATTAGCCGTGTGATCTCAAGAAGGTCGATGGACAAGCAGAGCTAGCAGGGAAGGTAGGAACGAAGAAAAACGAGCTTATCACAATCCACACATTTGCGTGAAGAAAAATCGGTCGGTTTCAGTTTTTGTCAAATTTTACTCGTGTACTCAGACAATTGCATCGGAAAGTTCGCGGGTGCTTGCTCGGCCACCAATCATCCATGCCGCGAGCTGCCCGGTATAAACCGATATTGGACCCGATAAGGATCCTGTAAGCGCCCGATAGTTGACCCGATTAGCATGCTTGTGAGGCCTAGGAGAGTGAAAAACTTGTGGCCTGTCTTTCATGACAACGGCTGAGTAAAATTGAGCACTTGTTAGCTCATCTGTCGACATCATCTAGTGTCGTCGATAACACTCATCCGATTGCTGAAGTTTCTTTCGTAAGCATATAAACTCAACTGTCACACAGGACCAAACCCAAGAAGCAATTACCAGCATTACAAACACTTAGGGTAGTCCCCATCGCTGTTGCGTACCTCACGCGGGTTGCGCTTTAACCTACAGCGTGTAAGAAGTGCGGCCTTTGATAAGGCCCGCGGCACGCCAAGTGAGGTGATTGGGCCGCGACTCTCCCGATAAGCTCTTTCCAATTTTAACTTTGGCCGCGGCGTTCCCGGTAAAATATACATGAGCCGCGGCGTGCGCGGCTGAAATTTTAAGGGCCGCGGCGCGCCATGTAACACGCTTTGAAGCCGCGAACTTTCCGATGCAATTGTCTGAGTAGAAGCAGCATTTGCTATAATCGGTGAGCTAAATAAATACCGAAAACTTTCAGAAAGGTTTCCGAAGTCTGTTTGATTGGAAAGAAGTTGTGTTTGAGATCCAGTACCATTTTTCCGACGCTAACATGCTATGCATCAGCAAATACTAGGTTGACCCAAAACGAAACCCCTTTTCAAACCAGAATTCTGTTTTCCCAGTAGACTTGGGGCACCCACAGAGTGAATAAGCTCTTTATAATGACCACCAAAGATTCACCTAAGTCATAATTCAGGTTACTAAGTCAACAACTGAGATTAATACTCCAAAAATCGGATCTCTTTTCAGGAAATTTCTACGGCCAAGGCTGTCATACAATAGTAGTATTCATACGTAAATTTGCTAGATTTTGCTTCCATTTAAGGTCTGAGTAAGAAGAAGTAAATCTGCTTTTGTTTGGATTCAAGATGTCCTTCCTCCTCAATTGAAAGAAAAAACTATAATGTCTCCTTCTCCCCTCCCCTTCAAAAAAATGAAGAATGTTCATGGTTCTTCATCGTAGCCAGATTACTTGTTTTTCTCAAGTGAAACATTCCCTAGCTACATATAAACGACCCACAAAGCGTCTATCAGTGAAAGAATGATAGCTTCGACATGAAAACATGAGCAAAATATTATGCAATGGATTTCTGTTTACTCATTTTTCAAATTTCAAATGCGGCTTGATTCATTTGTTTTTCAACTTTCACCATGGGAAGTGGGTTCTATGTTTGAACTCAACGCTGCTTGGATCTCAACACATTTCCTATTCAGCAACGAAGAAGAAAATTACGAGAAAGAAGACTCCAACAAAAGTCAAGACGTCTAAAATAGCAGGAACGCCAATAACACAGCGGCTTAAGGCCGCTAGTACCACAACTCTACTAAGCATCACTGAAACACCCACTGTGTAAGAATGCGATGAATTTTACAAGTTTTTGCGGAAATTGTGAAGTTTTCAGAATTGATGGGTCGGTGAAAAGTTGGTTGTCCACATTTACTAACACGGATAACCTACCTTTATTCGTGGTACTTGCTGGCCTCGTATTCGTGGTTCTCGCGATGATATTGTGTTGCTTCTGCAGCAGATCTAAAAAAGATGAAGGCATTGAAAGATTAGAAGAAGAGGAGGTGAGAGAGCCGATTTTTAGGTTCTCTTCTAGAAATTCTCAGTGGAACTTCATTTCAACCTGTGGCGCTGAAATTTGGTCCACAGACAGTGCTGTCAGTTTGGGCCGCCTCCACGGGCTACTGGTCCTGGAACGACATTCAACAACACTGCGGAAGGACCAGTTGGCGCGAAAGGCGGCTCAAACTGGCCGCCTTCGTTCCCCCTGCCCAGGTCTCGCTACCTAAGGATGAGTATTTTCAGCTTCCAGCAAGCGAGCGTGCGGCAAGGCATCGGCAAGCAAGCCCTCCAAAAAAGGTAGGCTTGGTCTTTTACGACCACACTGCGTTCATAGTTCTCTGCGTGCCAACGCCGTGCCAGTGTCGTTCCAACGCCGTGCCAGAGCCATGACGAACCCAAGTGGATCGATTGCTCTGATGAACCACCTCGCCAGCACGGTTTCGGCACGACGTTAGTACTTTGGACGCAGTTTCAGAAGATAAAAGCAAATTCAGTTTTTCAGCATGAACATCATGAACATCGCGAAAGTCATGAACGTCGTGAGCGTCATGAACGTCATGAACCACACAGCGAGAAAGCGAGTGCGAAAGAAACTCGTTCTAAAGGATCATCGACCTCTAAAGCATCGTCAGCCTCCAGAGGATCGTCGAAACCTCCATCACCTCGAAAATCCAAAACACCCACAGCCCCTAAGCACGACGAATTTGCAAGACCTCGTAGCGAGAAAGAAACTCAAACTAGCACAGGTTTTGATACTACTGCACAAACAATGGACACGATGGATCTTCAAATGGGCCGACCTCCCCGTAGAATTGACAGAGCAACAAAACGCTTGAAGCGACTTTTACGTCTGACGAGCCGAGAAGAACGAAAATCGGGTATGGCACCCCAACAAGATCAAGCAAGAACGAATATACTCGACGAAATGGGAAATGTGGAAGAAGCATCTCAGACTCCAAGCGTTACAGCTTCAGGAGCAGCCCCACCCGGTTATGAGCAAGCTGTGCCTTTTATGCCAACAACACAGACTTCAGAGGAGCGAAAATGGTAGAAAAAGAGTTTTTTTTTTGAGAAAACAAATGTTACGGACAGTTTTCACGAACAAAATTTTAATGTAGAGGCCACCCAAAAATAAATTTTATTTCTTGAGTCAAAGAGCATTGTAGAACACAGATTCAGAGCTTCAAAAATACAAATGCGCAGAGGAAAGATTGTAATCGCTCATAATATGGTCGTCCAAAAAATGGGATAATTAACAAGTCTTTAGCGTAAAAGACCATCATCCGCCCAAAAGCAATGGGAAAAGGATTTGTCACACATTCTTACGAACGAGACTTATCCTAACAAGAAATCCTGTAAGATACCTAATCATCACTGATTTTACTACTTCCATCGAAGTGTAGATGAGACCAGAGCCTTGGTTTCGTATGTGGAAAGTGACTGGGAAGCAAGACTAGGTCATGCCTCAGAGAGAGCTCACTTGTGGCCATGAAATTCTACTTTAAGCTCCAGTCCAGACCGTATATTCCACCGCACTCACACCAATTGCCTCGTTCGCAAAAATTGCGGTTTGGGCTACTTTGATGACTAATTTCTCAGCCAAAAATGACCGCCACTGCTGAGCAGTAAAATGTTTTGATATCAGGGAAGAGATCCTCACAAAGTACCGATTTGACGACAAATGCGCTTAGCATTGTAGAGTAAAAAAATTTGAGAACTTGTGATCTAAGGCAATCACCGAAATTCATAATGGGTAGAAAGCTAACTATAATATTTGCGTAACTATCAAGACAGATCTCTTCCAAACCTCTTCGGAGGAAATAACGATTAATATAACTTACTAATAACCATAGTCACAGGACAATTAAGCAATACTGAAGGACATAAAAACAGAGAAAAAGAACAACCTTGATTTACAGTCTCATGAAAGCATAGGCCTCTGACTTAGTTGAAAGAGAATCAAAAATTTGAGACGTACTTTGAAACACCAAAGCTATAGCCGATGCAAATACTTCACTTACGGTCAGACCGGTTGGAAATACTCGGTACGCAATGCGTGAGAGTAATTATTCAAGAGTAATAAACTTTCCGCCAAAACTGAAACTCGTGCGGTGATGAAAATGGTCTAAGAATATCAGTTTACATGATATATCGCTCTTATCGCATCTCTCGCTGGAGCCACCACAAACTAAACTGTTAACTATAGCATAGGTTGGGATGATTATTTTACTAATTACCTCTACAAGGTTAGTTTTCCTAAAATACGAAAATATCTTAATCACTTGTAGATGAATTCCGACCATGCGTGATGAACTTCATCAAAGGCTGAGCAGCTAAAACGAACGAAAGCCAAGGACAACTGAACTGTCATCAAGCCAACTTGCATAAATAAACAGAGAAGCCAAGGGAACATCTGCGCAGGAACCACTGCAGGAGCGCAGCCCGTAATTACACTTAAAATATCGTTTTGGAGAGGTAGGGGGGGGGGGCGGTGCGAATTTTTCACGGCAAATCCGAGTCCTTTCGAGAAAATGCATTGAAAAACTAAATTCGGAAAAGCAACTGAAAAAAAGGTGGTGGAGAGTGAGAACATTGAGGATCCTTGAAGAACAGCTCTAGACCGAGAAACTGTGCAGACGGTGACATTGATACCTTCACACTTCAGTAAACACCTTCCAGTGGCTGAAAAGGGCATACAAATCCAAAAGACCTGCTAGTTCTCATGTTTCAGCAAGACATGCACCTCTGTGACGCAATTACAATTCCACTAATTCAACATTTCAAGTGCATAGTTCTGCCTGAAGCTGCAGAGGAAGTACAAAGATCCCGCTGTTAGGTGAAAGAATCCAAGAAGAAAACCTAGTAGGAGATCCTCTGAGAGAAGGATATGTAAGAAGAAAACAAAGGATGACATAAATAACAAGGACTGTCTAAAGTGAGAATACACAACCACAACCCAAACATACTTCGCCCAAGAAGTTTGAGAGTACATGTCAATCGTGAACCACTTATGCACTTTTTTGGCAACTACGATTGAATCAGAGGCGGAATAAGAAAAACGACTCGAGATGGGAGAGAAGATAGCATTATTTGCAAATGCAAACAAAGTTCATCGTGCACTTAGCTCAAAATATTGAGATGGATCAACCAACAGAGACTGTATATGCCCTTTTGGCACACAAATACAGCAAGATCTACTCAGGACTGCACAGCTGGCTTGTAAACAAGCTGAATATCGTTTTTGGGACAAAAAGCAAAGGCGATATCGTTTTTGAGGCCGAAAAGACACAAAAACTGCGAAATTTTTTCTAGTCGACGTTTCGTTTTTTTGATTTTTACGTTTAGGGCTTAGGGTCAAAGGGAACTTCGTAAGAATTCGCAAAAGTGGGGGGGGGCTTCATTTTTTGCATTTTTGAAAAGCCAACTTGTGCCGAGCCGTGGATCTACTACCATCACTAGTACAACGAGAAACGTTTCAGCGAAATAAAAAGTTTCCACACCGAACTTGCATTCTATAATGCACTTGCGGATTAAGCAGAAACCCTAACTCAATGGAAAAAGAGTATGTACAGAACATTTCGATTGCGATTTACAGATTCGTCACATGCAATTTTTTTGATGCTGGAAGAATGTTTGATATGTTATCAAAAAACTGCCAAAAAAATCTCACCGTAAAAAAAAATTCTCGGGGACTCTGTATAGAGTGTGTGTGGTTCAAAGACAGATGACTGGAGATGAATTGCGAGAACAATGGACATCATCGGCATCGAAGAAGATTGAAATAGACATATAACCAGCGGAGTGCTCTAAGGCAGGTGATATGAGAGATCCAGAGAGATAGCGAATAAAGCAGGAAAAGGAATACTCAAAAAGGTGAGCTGTGACTTTTCTGATCAGGGCTCGGCACAGGTGGTTTGGTAAGCGAGTTGGATATCGTTTTTAAGAGGGTTTCGTTCTTGTGGTCGAAAAGAAACAAAATTTGTGACGTTTTTTTGGTCGACGTTTCGTTTTTCTTGGAGATTTTTTTTAGTATAACTTTAGGATCAAAGGGGACTTCGAAAATTTTGGGAAAGTCAAGGGGGCTTCGTTTTTTGCATTTTCCAAAATCCACCTCGTGCCGAGCCCTGTTCCTGATTTCATACTTCTAGAATCTCAGATTTGAGAAAAAGATGCAGGAACTACAGTAGTCACCATCTCCTCAAAACTTTTTTTTCGACGAAGACTGTACTACACTCTTAGGTCTACAAGTCATTCACTCCTGCATCAATTACAGCCCGATGTCTTTTCCCTTCATAGCCTTTCACAAGCAAAGACCTTTCCCCTTCTCACGCATGACATTAGACTTGCAAAGGTTTGTAGATTTTGCCGCGCGATGATTCAGCACATACGCAACTGATGATGTAATAGGGATCATAAGTCTTGCACCAAGAATTGGTAGAAATTCATTTAAAGATGTCCAGAGCAGCGTCAATTTGTATAGCATTTTTTATCATCATATTATATTGATATCAAAATTCATAGAAATTCTGCATTTTATCGTGTACATCAGAGATTTTATTCCGATCTCGTAGAGAAGAAAAATCGCACAAATTTATTATAGTCAAAAAGCCCAGATTGAAAAAGCTCAGATAGAAAGTTAAACTGAAATTAATTGGAATAAACTCATTGAACCTGGAGGAAGACAACGGAGTTTTTAAGAATTTTGGTGCAAGGTTATCAGATGATGATTAATTTACTGATCAACATGATCAGTAAACACCTCATATTTGAGACTCAATAGAAATACTTTACTGGGCTGTATTTTTCTTAATATTTACAAAACCACTGCTTCACAAGTTTGATATGAAGCGTTATACTTTCACCAAAAGATGATATGTCACGATGAGTAACTAGCAGAGTCAGTAGGGCTCTGTAAGTTCGCTCTTGGTACCCTAGCAGTAACAATGAGCAAAGCCTTGGAGACCAAACATCGTTTTTTGGAAATGTCTACTCAGGCTTCTTTTTTGAAGCACGATGAAGGTTCTTCAAGATTTTCGCGAAGAAAGAAAGCACAGACCCCCAAGTCGATTTTTGGTCTACTTCTTGTATTTCATGAAACCACAAAATTTTTGCATTTTTGCTGATGGTTAAGTCGCAGCGGCCAAATTAGGCATGTTGTATAATACTAGAAACTATTCTACTGCTTCTCTTTTGGAGGGGAGAAGTTAGAACATTGAGTCGAAAAAGCGATGTTCAAGAGAAAACATAAACATTTAGACGTTTGATAGGCGCGAGAAATCTAGTACGTGGTCAAAAAATTTTCAACGAAGACAACCGACTATAAGAACCAATGAACGAGGCAGTAGGCATCACAACCATCTCCAAACCGTGGGAGCATTAACGACAAAAACTCGCATTCACTAGTGGCCGACAAAGAGCCGTTCGTTGCCGTGAGTAATACAGCAAAGCGATTTGCATGTGATAAAAGGGATTACGCATCCTGTGCAACAGGGGGCAACAGCGATCGTAACAATTTTTGTTCCAGCTACAATAGGGGTGGAAGACAAAGGCAGACCAACAAAATTAGAGTAAGGAATCATGTTCTCCTTGTTGAACTTGACTAATTCAATTTAGAGCATTAGAGGCATTTGGAAAATCAATTAAAATAACAAATCGCGTGCAAACGATTTACACTTGGACTGATTCGAAACCATGAAACAATTAACGGTAATGTCATCTATGCAGGATGAGCTACTAATTTCTCCTAAAAGTAAACCCCCCCCCCCCGCCCCTTCTAGATAATTCGATTTGTTTTTGTTTTCCTAACAGACTTAGGGTATTAGCCGATAGACCGAAGCTAGCTCCATAAAAAGACCACCAAAGATCCACCTAAATCGTAAATCAAATAAAATTTGGAGCCAATTTTTTAAAAAATTGCTATATCCTTGCCCCAAAAATCGTATTTCCTTCCAGAAATTCTGTTTGGACCTCTAACTTGGTCATCCTACAGTATGCACAAAGTAGTTTTCATGAACGCATTTGCTGGATTTTTCCCGCACTAAAACCGAGCAA